AATTCAAATTACGACCTTATGACCACGTCGTTTAATCCTAACTTTGAAGATATGCGTGAAATTGATAACATTAGCATAACAGATGTAAATTCGAATTTATCTGTATCACGCCCTATTATACCAGAGAGTTTACTTACAGATTCCATTATTCCAACGAATAATGATACGCCCGATTCAATGTTTAATCTTTCATCCGCGTTTACTGACGAGCCCCTGTCGAACTCTCGTGTAGACTGGACTGGACTCGATGTGCACAACATGCGTAACGACTCAATGAGTTCCAACACTCGATTCATCTTCCAGAACGATTTGCATTCTTACAATGCATCAGAACTCTATTCCGATACATCCTTAAACAGTCAGGTAGTCACTACTTTAAACGAGGAAAATTACAGTGGTCAGCCTTCATCGTCACCAGCTGGTCGAAATATTTCCAGTGTAAGCTCAGATATTCCGAATGCAGGGACAGAATCCTTTATTAACAAAGGTAAAACAGCAAAATCCCATAATCCCGAATCATCGGATGTTCCTGAGATCAGTTCACTAATTTCGGAATTGGAACTTCAAGAAGACAACGGTCAGAAGGAATCTGGTGAAGTAGAAGCTGGTCCTTCTAGAACATCGACTCACTCTCAAGGCAATCGGATCCGGTCCTCGAGTACTTCAGAAACTTCTACTATAAAAATAAAGTCTAGCAAGGTAGCTACAGCAAAAATTATCAGAAATTCAAAACGAAAGGGTTCTGAAGAAGATCAGCTAGCTTTTAACAAAAAAAGGAAGATGACCCCTCTTGTTTCTGATGTAGCCACAGAACTTAGTAAACAGGTGTCGCCAAAGAAAAGAAAAGTTTTTACACCCGCATCAATCACGGCAGCACTTCGGCAAAAAGTGCTTACACGTCTCCTGGAGGAACACCAGGTTATCGAACACAGCGCTGAACTAGTCAAATTATATCAGCAGACGTTGGCCAAGGAGTCTAATGTAATGACTACACCACATGTCATCGATAAGAAAACGTTACAAAGAGCTGCTGCAGCGATGGAAGAAAAAGGACTTCTCAAGACTTATAATGTGTCCCTGCCTTTGTTGAATGGTGGCAGCAATACCAAACTTCTTTTCCTTCATCCTAGTTTAACTCCATCGAGTCCTATAGTGAAGGAATATGTCACCAAGATGTTGGACAGAGCAATACTCATTGGAAGGTCATTCAAACCATCCAAAATAGAGGAAGTAAATATAGAGGTTGAACCGCTTGAAGAATTCCAAAGGCGTGTTGCTGCTGAAGCTGCTGCTGGTGAAAAAACGATTACACTTGAAGTACCTTCTGAGTCTAACACGAATCCTTCCAATTCATGTGATGCCCTCCTCATGAATTCTACGGCACCCGAAGGCCTCATGGGCAATCTTCCAGGAACTGAACATGTTAACAAAACCTTGCAAACGTCCAATGAGATGTGGTGGCTTCACACAGCGCGAGGTTATGGTTGGATCAATGCGAAAATGATTCGTGCGAAAATACTTCACCAATATTTGATCTCCAAACTTTTTGATGAGAATTATATCGACAAAAATTCTAGAACTTTTCACACAGCGATTCTTATACGTGACCTTCCTCTTGATTTATACCTCAAAATTATTGGTCAATCGATCCCAAGTCAAGCCTTAACTAATTACGTTTGTTCGGGACAGAGCCTTGATGTCAGTGTTATTGATCTTCCAAGTGAGTTGCGCGCATCGCTTTTTTCGGGAAACTATAAGTTCCGACAGAATCTAAAAAGACTAATCGACATTCTCGTGGCTTTGCGAATCCTCAAGCCAATCCGTCGGGTATTTAATGAGAGTGGCGATCCTGTGTTGGATGTCGATAGCGATAACGCAGACAACTTTAAATTTGATCCAACAGAATGGTCTAGTAAAAATGCGACTTCGTGTAGCCCACCGCAAACTCTTTTAGCTCCAGCATACCAACTTCTACGACATGTCCCTATGTTCGATTTTTCGGTCGCCGGTCCTGACAGACCAATAATCCGAGAATATATGCTTGATACAATCGA